TCAACCTTAGTTTGAAGGATATTATGACAATTTATGTCAGATGATCAATGATGATCAATGATCATGACATCATGTTATGCGGTGTCAGAAGCTTGAAAGGGATTTGAGCGAACCAGACTATGCAAGCTGGTTGAAGCTGCTTCCACGGCAATTGGCATGCTGCAGGTAGACAGTGTGATCCATTCTGCGCTTGCTGCGGCCCTCAATCTGGGCACGGATCAGGTGTTTGTCCGCAGAAGGCCCAAAGCCGAGCCAAGTCAACGTTCTTTGAAACGTTGCGGGACACAGTCCCTGTTCATACCAGATCTCACTTCGATCCTTTGCAAGAAGAAGCGCTTGGATTTCCCAAGTTTCACCAATGGGATGCCATGGGGAAAAACTCATCCAACTTCAGATCATCCTTCTTCGCACCGTCAAAGATCTTCGAAATGAAGAGGGATCAACCCCCACATCAAGGTGATTGTTTTTCCATTCGAGAAGTTCGAGCAACCTTTCATCCGAGTTGTGCGCAGGGAGACAGGACGAAGGTTGGAGGAGTCGCGCTGGCTGCCGATTTGGAATCTGGAATTCCAGGCCGGTGGCACATCATGGGATTTGCTTATGGACTCATGTGGACTCTTTGAACATCTGAAAACTGCAATGGAGACAAGCTCCAGGGTCAAAGTAGTGTGGTTCGCAGAATCTGCTCCAACCCGTGTCAGTTTTTTTTCTGTACGTAATGGATAATATAACTACATATATTTACAAGGTAATGAAGGAGCCAACCAGAGCTGACGGGAGCTGCCATTGTTTGTTGGGAGGTTCTACTTCCACCCTCAGAGATTCCAGATGACTTCGACAGCGAGTTGACGAGGAGGTTGCAATCTCTCGCTTCTTGGAAGGCGATCAATCAAATCCTCAGTCCTCATGATATACTCTATATATAACTAGTTGGAGTGTTGCAAAGGAGATTATTGTGTTTTGCTCATCACACTCATGTGCGTAGGACTCATGATGCTCAATATGAGGTTCAATGTGCGAACACGAGCGATATATATATATATATATCAAGGGATACTGCATATGATATATCAGCTTGTTTTGCTTCTACTCAAGACTCAAGGGACTTTTGGAAGGACATTGATTGGCCCCCTTTGCCCACCACTTGTGGAACGCCTGCCAAGGATTCTGCATTGGTGGCGTCTGCGACTGCTTTGACTATTACGACCGAGCAAGTTCAAAAGGCGTTTGCTGCTCATTGCTTGTCGCAGTTCTGTTGTTCAATAACCAACCCCCCTGGTTCTTCTGAAAGCTACAAGCATGTTTCTTCTCCTACCATTTTTCAAGGCAAGCAGAGTATCCGGAAGAGCAGTCTTTCGAGGTTTCAACAACCAGAGACAAAGATCGAAGGATTGATTTGATGTAGGTGCTCTATATCAGTTTCTTCCATTTTCTGCCGCAGCTTGGATTTGCAATCTTGAGCAGGTGCCCTTAGAGATGGCAGATCTTCATCCTTCTGGACGACGGTTGATGTCCACGAGCTCTCCGAGCCTATGTCGATCCTTCCTGAAGATGGTGCCTTGCAAAAGAAATGGACTACCTTGACTGACTAACTCTTTTCTGCGAGTTTGCATGTGGAGAGAGCAGGATTAGTCTGAGAGCGGGAAGCCAAGCTATTGGTTGGACAAAGCTTTCCAACACCTCCTGGTACTTTGTGCTGGTTGTATCTGGTTGTATAATGATGTAAGCCTAGCAGACTGCTTTTTCCGTGCGCCTAGTCCTGCTCTTTGCTATAGTACCGTAGTACGCAGTCTTGCATGAAAAGCTCTAGAAAGCTTCAAGTCCCTTGTTCCAGAAAATGCTCCACCGAAAAAGAGGCTCCCTTTCGCTAAGTCGCTCTATCCACCTAAGGTCCAAGCACCTGGTAGTGACTACCAGCTCCCAGCTGAGACGCCACTGGAAAACTATACCCACCTGCTGGTGTACTTGTATCTTGGCCTGCCTTGGCTTTCATTGCTTGAACAGATCTGCCAGGAGGATCCACAAACCAGAAACCGCGATTGGAACAAGATTGGGGTCCCTTTTCTTGAGGAACAAAACATTGTGAGTCAGGCGGTCGAGCTTGGTGGAACAATCCACACCCTTTGCTCATCTGATCGTGGACGTTTTTGCAACTTGGGTACAACAGCACAGACATGCCGACATGACATGTCTTTGTTTTGCAGACTCGCATGGGCCTAAATTTCGTTGCATTTCGATAGTCTCGGGGTCAGATTGAAGTGCTTTGTGGTAGCAGCTATTGCATCCGGTGTGGATTGACCTTCGAAGAAGCTCAAGCTGATGAACATCATTAAAAATACTGACAAATTATGGCATCCTCGTCACCGGTCCCGCTTGAATATGCATAAAAAATACACCTGCGGAATATCGCGAAAGGGTTTACCTAATGGGCAGGGATGCCTACAGTGCATGTGTGATTGCACATTTCTTTCATTTGGAACTCAGCTGTAGAGGGAGATGGAAGAAGGTTCCACGTTGCCCTTGCAGTTCCGCATTTCTCGAGGCCAGTGTGTCCCAGATCTCGTTTGTTGATTTGGACTTGGACTTGGAGCAATTTGGTGGACACTTGGCAAGAAAGGTTGCGCCCCGCAACGCCCCACGGGTCCAATGGACTGCAAAAAAATGACCCGACTAGGTACATCAGGGATCTGCCACATGTTGCCCAGAGGAAGACATGATGACAGCAGTAGAGGCATCAACTGAAATGCGGAGCCACCCTAAATGCTATCAATGTAGACCTGCCAGTGTGTAGTGCACAAACACCTGAGGTACAATTTCTTGGTCTGAACCAGTGGACACAGCGGCAGTGCAGTCATATCAGATTTATTTCAACAATTCCAATGGTGCCTTGGCTGGTGAACTTCCTTGTCTTCTGGATTTTCACCGTCGGGAATCAGCTCACTTTGACTTTTCTAACGCCATCCGGGTTTGGTATCTTGACAGGGATTCAATTCATTCGATTATGCTGTCGGTCATTGTCGGCTCAACCCAGGCCGTAGGCACATCAACACTTTCAGCCCTGGCACCTCTGACTTCGCATTGCCTGCGGACACTGCTTATGAAGGCATTTGGATGGAGGAGGTTTTGCAATGAAAGCTCGGAGCATGTCCAGTACCTGCCTTACCCCGCGTATATCCCCGCTAAGAGAAAAAGAGTGTGAGGAGACCTATTCACGCATATGAGTCCGTTTCGCTCACGTTCAATGTGGAGTGCGACCCCGCTGCCAGTGCAATCGTTTGCTCCTTTATGCCATTTTAAAGTTCCGCTCGATGTTCCTTTGAAGGTGGAGATCTCCTCATTTATACCGAGTCCAGCCTTGCGGAGCAGACGACTCCGGTGTCTTTAGGCCTCTCCGATACGCTGGCTGCAGGGCACCCAGTGGACCCATCGCCACGAAGGAACCTTCTTGAATCATCTTATTTTGACGTATCTAAACATAGAAGCTACTAGGCTACTTTGGGCCTCCTGGCATCGCTACTAGGAGCAAGGACGCTACTCGGGGCTCCTGGCCGTACTACTAGGAGCAAGTAGCCACTAGTAACAAGAAGTTACTAGGGGCTCCTCCAGACGTACCTAACAACATGATTCACCACTTTCGGCTAGTCTTGCCCAGTACAACTACCTTCCCCGCACTAGCAGAACAGCCTGTTCTGCATACGAAAGCTGGCCTATTCCAAGGCCATCGGCAATGCCAGCTTCCCCGATTTTGATCTTGATGCCTATGACCTCGGTGGCCAACTCGTTTGGGATCCACCTCAAGGGGACCTGTTCCTCGATAGCATCCAGATGTCATTTTTGGCCATGCATTGCCTTGGGCTTGCCTAGTAGCACAATTGCGTGCCGGTTGCATCCCACCAACTACTTTGCTCCCCTTGCTTGATTTTTGGCCCAGGTCGAAGGTGACGCACTACATGATCTACATGGCCAGGCGCGACCCATAGAGACTGGAGGACTTGTTGGGTCTTTGGATTTGCAATCCGATTTCAAGCTCGGCGAATCTCCTATAAATGTCTAGAGATGTCTATAGAGTGTGTATAATTAGGATGATGGGTCAAACAAGAGCTGAGCAGTTTTCTTTGCACCAGCATTTGACCGCCCAATACGCTTGTGAGGGAATCGGGTCAGGTACTTCACAGGGGAGAACGATACAGAGTCTTGTGATGATGGCACTGCAGCTGGGAATGCATTGGAAGTTGATAACCGGTGTAATATGTCTAAACATGTCTATATGATTCTATATGAATGCACCTCCTCAGCTTTCCAGAGGATGTGTGATGAACCCTTTAGCCGAAGCCTCTGGAAGCAGCCACCGTGAGCTTCAGGTATAGCATGTGGGCAAATCGATAGAAAAACAGGATCATGCAGGTCGAAAGATCGGTTTGCCCAGGATTCTTTCATTTCTGCTTTCTGTTCACCTGCAGGTCTTCGATTTCTCTGAAAGATGAGGGCCCCATGTCCTCCTTGTTCCAACATCCCATCTCCGAGGCGGTGGAGCTGGCGGCCTCCATTCGAGGCTCCATGTCCTTTCAGCTACCGGGATCTTCGGCGCAGGCGAGGGACCTGGGTCTGGGTCGAAATCGACCTGGAGATGCTTGGAATTCCCCAGGTGTTGAACGGTGAAATCAGAAATGCGTAAAGAATTCACTTCTACTGTGCAAATTTGGCTGAAACTACACATGTGATTCAGGTGCTGCAGTTCTTTGCCCCTTCATCTCCGGACCTTCAGTAACTCATAGTAACTCATGGACCCCCCAGGTGGAAGCAGCAGTACGTGCTACGTTGTTATCGGCCTTCCCTGGTCGAGACCTTGGAGATGATTGGAATTTAGACAACTTTTGTTGGACAACATCTGTTCAGACGACTTTTGCATGACACTCACTACGAACTGACACAAATGGCTCCAGCAAGTTCGGCTTTACACGCAAGTAGTGCCAGAGCAAACTTCCAACTGCCAACTAGCCATGGGAAATCCGACTTTGACCGAAGATGCCGTGAACACCGGTGCAGTTGCATGGGTTCTGACCTCGGCAGCCTTGGTGTTCTTGATGACCGCTGGGCTCGGCTTCTTCTATGGTGGCTTGGTGCGCGATACGAATGTAATCAACACTATGATGATGAGTGTGGCTTCCATGGCCATCGTGTGCCTCACTTGGGTGGTTTTTGGATTTTCTTGGGCCTTCGGAGACAATGGGGCCACTGGCTTCGGGATGTTCGTGGGTAACTTTGACTACAGCCTGTGGACAAATCTGGACATGAAGATGTGGGGTGACTCTGGGCTTCCTGGCCTTTGCTTTGCAGCTTTCCAGATGACCTTTGCCATCATCGCATCCGCAATCATCTCGGGCTCTTTGGTGGAGCGAATGCGCTTCAGCGCATATTCGGTCATGTTGGCCTTGTGGTCCTTGCTGATCTATGCTCCACTTTGCCATTGGGTTTGGGGCCCTGGTGGCTGGATTGCGGAGATGGGCGCTCTCCTCAGCTGTCTCATTATTTGGTGTATGCAAGTTCTCACATGAGTTTGAACATGTGCAAGAACATGCAAGAGCACCCAATCTCAAATGTGCACACAGAAGGAACCAAGCAGTGAATGTATGACGGTTTTCAAAAAACCCGCCCATAATTCCACCAACACAGCAAGAGATACCATTACCTGCTTTAGTAATATCTTAGTTCAGGGGCGGCCGCATATTGATCTACAAGGCGTTTCCTTTTGAACACCCAGGAGAAAGTAAACGGAAACTTGGAAGTACTACGTATAGTATATATATATATAGTATATAGTATATAGTATATAATATAGTAGCCTGAAGACCTCAAGCTGTGGCAAGCCAGACCCCAGGTTGGGCAGCTTTAAAGAGCAATGATTCTTCACAGTCAACAGTTACACACAGGCCGCGGCGCGATAGTTGTGGCTGCTACATGAATCAGAAAATGATAGCGCATGGGAATTGATCCAAAGCCCATTGATGTTTTGATATTTTTTGTAAAGGGTGAGCTCCGAGATGTTTTCGACTTAGACGTCTGCAAAAGACTTGCGAACGGGCGTGCAAGCGTACCTGCATTTTCCTTCGGTGCATGTGCACTGCGCAAGGGCGAAACCTGGCGGGTGGTTCTATTTTTTCCAGCGCCCTTTACTTGAGCAGCGTTCAAAATCTCTATGAAATAACCACATGATGCGATTGAAATGCAAGACTGCCGTGCAAGAAAAAGTCTGCACACAGTAAGGATTGCGTAAGGTTTGGTGGAAGCAAGGTTAGGTTAAGCAGCAGTTTAGAGTCTTCTAGTCACACTGGACTGCTACCTTACTTTGTAAAGTGTTTTGCTGAGAAACACTGCTAGCAGAAGAGGGTTGCGGACTCAATCTCTCAAAGGCACTCCTTGGACAAGTTAGCAATTCCCATGTCTGCAGGGGTTGAGTGGCCCTAGACCACACAATTTCCGCAGAAGGGTTTGCGTAGTTGCGTAGGCGAACTTCTCAGATGAAGCCCTCTGCCCACGTCCGCCAAAAGTTTCAAAGAAACACCAAAGCAAGCAGCTGCATGGGGAAAGCACTTTTCAAGCACAGCCCGGTTCACCCTGGCTACGCCTGCTTGGTCCCCATGGCTGGCAAAAAGAAGCAGTAGGCTTCAAGTGCATTATACAAGAGCAAAGTGTCAAAAAAGAATGCTTCAACTGCTCTGGTGAAAACGCCAGTAACGAGTAAAACGCCAGTAGCGATTCCAACGCTTAAGAAACACGTACGCCCCAAGATAAAATACATCACCGCGTAAGCGAAAACATCGGTAGTGTAAGCATTGCGGAAGCTGACGTGTAAGCAAAGAAGGATTACAAGGCCAAGACCAAAAGGGTTTTGACCACCGCTCACTTGGGGTCGGCCCGACCAATTTGTTCTACTTCTCCAGTCTTCTCCTTCGCGTTTCTATTTTGGGGCCACTTGTGCGCAAGACGTCCTCAAGGCCACTTGGCTCAATGTAGTTCAGGGTGCAATGGCAAACAAAATCAGTGCCGCAACAATTATATTATATGTTTAATATATATTATGTATTTAGTTAAATTTATACTTTATTTCGAGGCATCCAACACGTACTAGTTAGTTCTTGAGACGAATTCCGTGTGAATTCCGTGTGTTGTTCTGCCAAAGAATCATTAAGGCGCGCTCGACTTTGCTGGCGGAACTGTTGTCCACATCAGCTCCGGTGTGTCTGGTCTTGTTGCCGGTGCCATCGTGGGGCCTCGAAGGCATGTGGAGAAGGAACTGGGCCCCGCCAATGCACCCTTCGTGATTTTGGGTGGCAGTCTCCTGTGGTTTGGCTGGTTGGGATTCAACGGTGGATCTGCTTTGTCAGTGAGTGACGGTGTGGCAGCCCGCGCCGTGGCCACCACTTTTGTGGCTGCGGCTTCATCCATGCTGACCTGGTTGGTGCTTGAGCGTTTGCTCAAAGGCAAATCCTCCAGTGTGGGAGCTTCTGTGGGAGCTGTGGCCGGCCTTGTGTGCATCACCCCTGGAGCTGGCTTTGTGACGCCTGGTTGGAGCATTGCCATTGGTGCCTTGGGCGCTGCTTGGTGCTATGTCTCCGTGGAGGTTGTAAACAAGGTCAATTTGGTGGACGACACATTGGACGCATTTGGGTTGCATGGCATGGGTGGCATCGGTGGGGCTATCTTCACTGGCATTTTTGCATTGGATGGTGGCCTGATCTACACTGGCAACTTTAAGCTGTTGGGCAAGCAGATTGCTGGCGCCATGGCAGGTGTGGCCTTCTCAGCGATTGGTACTGCTATCATCGTGGTGGCATTGAAGCTGGTGATGAAGCTGCGAATTCCTGAGGACCAGGAAGTTTCAGGTGTGGACCAGCACACACATGGTGAGACCTACCACAGTCCAGTGAAGCAGTATCCTCAGGCTAAACCTTCTGAGTCCAGTGAGATGACATCCGCGGTGTGATTCTACCAACCTGGCTGAGGTGCTATTTGCATGTTAATTCACTGTCTAGACTTTAAGTACAAAGATGGAGTCTTTGTCAACATCCTTATTTAGGCAAAGACTGAGTGCGTACGTCTTGTTTGGGCTCTACGAAGATGGAGTTCCTCGCTGATGCGCGCTTAGTAGCGTAGCAGCGTGTTTAGTGTTTATGCTGTCCACAAGGATGGATAAGCCGACTAGCACCACTCGCCTGAAATACATGACGAGGCTAGCCTACAGTCTAAGGCCCTAATCCGGCTCTTAGAAGCAGCAAGGGAGCAGCAAGTCATCCATCACACCAAGCATGACTTTGAACATGAATGTCGTGTGCTGCTCATTTGGGGCAGCCACCATGAATGCTGCTGGTTTGTTTTTGACTTGAGGTTTGAGTGAGAGCGCCCTCATCGTCAGCGTCTCGCAACTGACAAGCAGGCGTCTCACAACAAGAGGCTGGGCTTGTAGACAGCTTGAAGAATATTTATAAATGGAGAAAGATGAACGCACAAACTGCAAGGATCCACTGCCCCTCCGGGCATTGCATTTCTGCAGAGTGGTCTTTCAATGGAACCTGAGATAATGTTGCAACGGCAGATACCTGCACCCACAGGCCGGCGCTTGTCGACGATTTGGCACGTGTCGTACCAGGCGGGGCATTGTTGATGAACAACGTGCAGCAAGACTCTTCCAAGGATGTGGTTTTGCAACAGGACCCAAGATGACCATATTCCAACGACATTTCCAGGATGTGGTTTTCCAATTCCCTCTTTGTCTCTCTCGGTCAGCGAGCCAAAGCTATGATGAAGAAAGAATCTTGAGACCAGGCGACGATGCCCCTGACAGAGGTGGCAGCTGCCACCAGTGACCTGCCACAAACTGCTTTGGATCCACTACGTAATTATATACATTTATTGAGCAAAACATGTTCCATATAACGACTCTGGCTGTCAAATAATACGCTTCATATTTGGCCTGATGTAGGGACGGAGTATCAATTTTGTCGAGTATCAATTTTGTCCATGATGCCCCTGTATGCTTACCAGCACCATGTACGAGACGACACCTTGGGTAACGACTTATGGCAATGAAGTTTCAGTGAAAGAACAGACAGACTTTTGGAAAGGCAAGTGCATTTCAATATGATACACATTGGGAGCCTTCTATCACCAGCACATACCTCAATGGAGGATGACTTCCAGCCGTCATCAAGGCATCATTATGGCCCTGACTCCCTGACAAGTTCTGCTTGGCTGAGGTACTGCCGCATCTTTCAGTGAAGACGCCACGGTGTTTGCCACACTCTTAAAGCCACAGCTCCTAGCAGCTGGCATCTCTAGCGCAGCAACTCGGCCAGTGAAGCTTCTCAAACACAGTACTGAGGAGGCAGTGTAGACTTATAAAGGTGAAGAAATCAAACGAACTCTGACATTTGAATTTCAGCCTTTTGTATACCTAGCTCTGCATTGGCCCAAGCAGAGCTGAAATTCAAATTCAGATTTCTTGACTGGAATTTTGTGTAGCAAATTGCAGGAAGCAGCTTGAATTTCAATACTGCGCGCAACTGAAGATAGTTAGAATTCGATTTTAGCTGTTGTCTTCGTGGACCAGGGGCTTGCATTCTAATTTTAACCTCCAATTTGGTTGAGATGTCGGACAAAATAGTACAAGCAGCTGGGAGCTCACGGCGGCGTAAGCATTGGCGACAGATTGCCGTCCCAGACGTGCCTTTTGGCCAATCATTGCGTGCTGCTGGACAAGCCTGGCTGAAAGAAAGAACGATCACACACAAGACGCTCACTAACTCATCCTTTGAGAAGCAAGTCGTTCTCATTCGTTCTCATAGGGCGATGCCACGCATGTCTAAATTGCTCCCGTCAGTGGTGCTTCGGATGGGCCGATGAAGGAAACTTCGTGTGGAAGAGTCAGGTTCATGTTTTGAGCAGGCAAACGTGTTTGTCGTCAAGGGCACTACGTCAAGGAGTACGCCACACGGTGCACGCCACTGCGTGCTCTGAAGCACATGAAGCGTGAGGACATCAAAGAAGAAATTTGGCCTACCACTGCGCAGCTCAAGAACCAAAGGTGCAAGGCTTTGACTTCTTGCAAGTAGGACGGCTACTCATTTGAGTATAGGTGAGCTCGAGGCTCTTGCTTGTCAACCACCTCATGTTGAGATTTTGTTTGACCACGTGGTGTGCACTTTTGACTGCGTTCTTGTACCTTTCTGCTTGAGATCGGATGAGATCGACAAGGTGTGGATGGAGAGTAACATGCCCACTTGCTTCCTTTTGCTTGAGCCAGACCCGCCGGTGGACAATGTATATTTACAGACTGTTCATGCTACCATGCAGTTGCTTCAGCGTGGCAAGAACAAAATCTTGACATTTGATGGCACAGATGCTTGGAGCATGTCGCTCGCTAGAGAAATCTATCTTTCGGAATTTTGTAGGTGTGTTCTCCAGGCATGTGCTGTGCTGTTCTTTCGCCCCTTCCACGTTGTCAGCGGAGACGCTGAAGGCTGCAGAGAGCTTTTGCCTCCCCTGCAGATGCATGGGACCCTCCAATCACAATTGCCTGTTTGAATTGGCGGCATGTCGGAGCAACCGGTTCATCGGCTCCGCAGCCTCCAAACAGAGTGTGCGAAAGATCCGTGAAGATGGAGCCACGTGGAAAAGGCGTTAGTCCGAAAGGTTGAAATTCGATGTTCACCCTCACACTGGTCATGTCACATCCCACACCAAGCAATAGTTGAAATTCACATTTCCACCATTCAGACACTCAATTTCCAGCCACTACCGTGTAGACTTGAACAGTGTGAAGGCCGATCTAAAGAGGACAAAGACAAGGCGTTTGGATTGCTCTTCTGCGCTGCAGGGTTTTGCTGCATGATTGAGACAGACTTCACCCAGTGTGGCAGCCGGCAATTGAGGTACTGGACACCAGCTTCACAGTCCTCTCGTGACTTTGTTGCAAAATATCCATGCAAGGGTGCTCCATGCAAGGTTCATCAAGGTTCTATGAGAGGTTGCCAACACGACATTGCCTTCGCGTTGCTTTTGGTCGCTGTGTACTTGGTCTGCGCTATAATCACAGAGCAGAGGTTTTCACGTCTCTCCATGGAGATTGTTGACAGCGCCTACCTTGCAGAACACTTTGCGGTGCTCATGGCAGGGGTGGCAGCCCTAGCTGGTAATCGGAGTGCAACAATTCCAGTGAGAAAACCTCACAGTTTTTCAATCCTTTGACTTGCTGCACAAGAAACAACAATGGTCCATTCACTGAAAGTGTCCTCTCCATCGCGAGGGCAACGAGTAGCCGCGTAGCACTCGATGCCATGATGGATCAGGCAAATCAAAGTGACACCTCAGATGCAGACGAGGACGGCTTGCATTCTGCCTGTTGAGCCAAAACAAACCACTCAGAACTTATCAAAAATGGTGGTAGTTCCATGGATCCTTGCGGGATTCCTATTCAAAAGGACTGATCAGTTTGCTCATTAGGCAAGAATGGGCAATATCCGGAAAGCACAATAGCAGGACAGCAGCGATGCTGGGAACCAGACGCGGCGACTGCTTCTTGACTGAAGCTGACAGGATACTAATACTTTCATAATCTTTCATATACTTTTGAGTTGTACTGGAGGGTTGAACTGTGAATTACATGTACATCATGCTACAACGACTTAGAAGTGCGGTGAAGTGCGTCAGGCTCGATGAAATTGAAATCCAGAGGACTGGCCGCCGTATGGATTACATTGCCTCGATCTTCTCGGCAGCTTGGCTTGGGGTCATTGTAGAATTTTCGTCTACAAGTGAGCCACGATCAAAACATGAGAATGCAACTTTAGCGTAGAGGGGTAGGTTTGTGCACAGAACCCTGTAAAACGATAAGTAAGGTCCACAAAACCGATAACCCCAGCACTGTATATTATCAGTATGTAGCGGACTCGCAATACTGTAAAACGAAAAGGTCCAACTCAAAACCGATAATTGTGTTTGTTTAGTTGAAGAAGAACAATATGTTTTGACCGTGGCTCAAATAGAGATTGACGGACATGATCGGTCTTCGAGAAAGCATGAAAGCAACACACGAGGAGTTCCTCTCTTTGGGGACTTTGAGGGATGAGACGTAGCGATGCACTTGTTACTACTAGCTTCTTGTTACTACTCATTTTCCAAGATTCCAAGATCAATATCAGGATGCAAAGAAGCATCGACTAATCAAGGCCAACAGCCTACTGTACCAAGTCAAAGTAGTCAGTAATGGACTGTCAAGGATGGCAAGCGGTTGGATCATAGAAGTGGTAGAATCGGTTCTGTTTGGTTGTAGACCCAAACATTTTCCAGTGGAATTGGATAAGCTTCACCAGTTCCTGCCGAGGTCAGCTTGAGCTGGTGCCGCCGTTTTGCTGGAACTACCACAGCTGGAACCACTGCGATGACTGTGCCGCCAGAGACAGTGTCACGGTGGCAGTTACATCCAGGGGATAGGCAGGTGATGGTAACCACTTCAAGGAGCCAGCTGCGATTTGGTTTCTCTCATACCATGCTCCCTTTGCCAAGTCTTTTCAGGTTCTGGGAAACTACACTCACTATCTCATTTATGCAGCCTCCTCGTTGGCCGAGCAGAGCTTCCCTTTCGCTTTGCTGATCGAAGACACCGATGCGAGTGTCTCTTCTATTCACTTTGACGGGCAGGACTTCCGGATAAACCCATGAAACCCAGACGAAGACAGCACAAGCTTGTGGGATCTTGTGGGAATATAATGGAATATATACTATTATAAGAGATACCAAACAAACACAAGCAAAACATCTTTAGCACTGTTTGACAAACTCGACAGACTCTTTGAATGTCCCAGTTCTCTCGGGTGTATGTGGTCAAAGGTGGTCCATGGTTACACCATACGAAGGCTTCAGAGTTGCCAAGTTCAGCAGGACCTTGACTTCTACGATCTGGGTGGAGAACTCTCCTGGCTGGCGCCCAATGACACTGAGCGTGTGGATGCTTACCTTGCTTACCTTGCCTCAGGCAGGGGTGGATGCTTACACGCGCTTGTGACTGCGCTTATCCCGAAAGCGTTGGAGAGGCAACCCCATAAACCCTCGAAACCTTGTACCCAAGCTTTCAAGTTCGAAGTACATCTGGCACCTCCCAAAGCAGAGGGACTTGGCAACTCTGCCAGCTCTACAACGGTGTCCATCCTTTTAACGTAATTCTTCTCCATGTTTATCTTTTTCTCCGGCCGCATGGGATGAAGGTGCCTCAGGCCTTGGACGATCACAGCTGGGAGAAGCACTTCCGCCTGAGGCCAGAGAAGAAGCACAGAAGCTTCCTTTCATTGCCTTGTTGCCCTTGGCTGCTTAGAGACATGAACCATCCGGAAGCAGATCAAAGACAATTTAACAATTCTTAACATTGTTAGCACCAGTCACCAGTGACAATATGTTAGCCTGCTATCGCCTGCTATCCTGTGCCCTTGGAGTTTTAGTTTCTGGCAGGTCTTGAAGCTGCACGTTCCCGCCAATACGCCAAGAGGCAACTTCACGCACTTCACAGTCTTCACGCGCTCGGTGCTTGTAGAACAGAAGCTTGACAGAACCATGGGAGGCCCTAGGCCCATCGAGGGCATGTCACTAATGTGGCAACGAAGACATTATGAGCCACACGAACGCCACAAGATACCAGAACAACCCATGGCATCATGGTGTCACCAATTGGGGCTAGTCCTAAATCATGATGGGAGAAGTGGCGGTGCCAGTGTGACAGCCAAACGCACAGATGATTGGAGGCTTTTGAAGCAGCTTTTGTCCTGGACCGTGGAAAGCTCCACCCCATCAAGACCGATCTAAACATCTCTAAGCTCTAACATGCTATAACATAATGCATATATTCCTTCCGTTCAACTAGGGGCTCCTGGCATCGCTACCAGGAGCAAGGACGCTACTAGGGGCTCCTGGCATCGCTACTAGGAGCAAGAACGCTACTAGGGGCTCCTGGCCGTACTACTAGGAGCAAGGATGCTACTAGGGGCTGCTTGGCTGTACTACTAGGAGCAAGGACGCTACATATTTGCCTCGGGGAATTCTACCTTGACGGTGTGATTGCAGTAGCTGACTCCGACCGGTGTTTGAGGACGACACCTGCCTTCCTGGCAATTCAAGACGAAGCCTCCCGGGCCAACAACGTCTCCTTCGTGGATGATGTTGGCACCTCAGGATCATGGGGGATTGCTTTCACATTGCACATCGCCAAGGCCCTGCAAAACGAAAAGAGGAAAAGGACGAGAATTAGAATGAACCTTATTGGGACTCGGGCCTTAGGGACTAGCGATTTTACACTTTTTATACTATTTCTGGAACTTGGCGGTTATGGACCATGGATGACCATGGTGAATCCATGTTGAAGCACTTGTATGGCAACTTTGGTGAAACCAACGGACGACCTGGGGCCTCGTGGTCGGTGTGGTCACGTCTCTCGCTCGTCCAAACTCCCCTGATTTGAAGGTTTTGGCCAAGAAGGAATTGACATCAACAGAGAAGCCCAGCTGTGTTTTGCTGCCTCAACTGGATCTGTGATTGTTCCAAGGATTTGGATGAAGGTGAGATTGGTGGAAACTTGACATGGCTGGCACCAGAGGACTTCAGCGAGGCCTCAAAAGCCTTATAGGATGGAACGATAATTTGTCATTGAGGAGATCCAGTCTCATCCAAAAGGCAGAAATCTGCATAGGCTGTGAGGACCTGTGAGGACTCAGGGAGGCCCCATCATGGCCCATCTTATGCATCAAGCTCCACTGATGACAGTCGTTTTCAAAGCGACCGATGATCTTCATGGCTCCTGACAGTCGTGCGACCATTGCCCTGTTAGGTGGTGGACTATGTGATCTACATCGCAGAGGCCCTGGCTCCGGAGTCGGAGTGTAAGCGGAGTCAGAGTGTAAAACGGATGTTCATCGGTTCATCTACCATTTTGCAATGTTTTATTTAATTACAGCTGTGTGTCTTTTGTCTTACAATAGCTTTGCGAGTTTAGCGGAATGCAGGTGAACAGTTGCAGATTCCCTTTGTTCAACAGCTCCAAAGACTTGTGGATTCAAGACTGGGTGAGGTTCATTAGTTAGTTTGGACATTTGGGGGCTACACTACGCTGTCGCGAGGTCAAGCAGTCTCCAAAACTATCCAAAACTCACGAATCTCACAATCACGGCAGTCGCATCACAAGTTAATAGTTAAAGCATGTTAAACCAAAAGAAGCATTGTTTTGACTGAAGATACTAGTAACAAGTGCATCGCTATTAGTAACAACTGCATTGCTACTAGTAGCTAGAAGCTACCAGTAAAAAGGTGGGGTAAAGATCAATTGATGTGCTTCAGGATCGCTTTGGGGCGAACCGAAGCCTCCTGGGCAATGTCAGCTTTGACACTTTCAGTCGCTCGGTCGGATAATTTTTTGCAGTCAAGTTCAGCTGAGGTTTGCGAATCTTAATCTTGTACAGGTCAATGTGTTGTTTGTTTTTTGTTTTCGCTTTTTCTTGGGATCAACAAAACGTGACTTCTTCAAAGGGATCTTGGGACACAGACTGGGATGCAGTACGGGGGGAATGGCATGTGAGTGCAAGACATAGCGGTTGTTGAAAGAAGCGTTCTTTTCAAGTACTTGTAGTAGAGTCCCGGACCTGAAAGCTACTAGGACTTAGTAGCTACTAGTAGCGTCCTTGCTCCTAGTAGCGATGCCCTTTGCTCCTGTAGCTTCTTGTTCCTAGTAGTAAGGCCAGGAGCTACTAGTAGCATAGTAGCATCCTTGCTCCTAAGAATGATCAGAATGCTTGTCACATTCTTGTTGCAGGTTTCTTGGTGCCAGAGAACACACCACTGCTCGATCACTCGCACTTGCTGATCTATGCTCGATCAACCTTGGAAGAGACACTCGGACAGTATGGAGTATATGGAGTTCTTGTGCATTTTGCTTGTTGATCCAAGAGTTGTCTTATCACACCGCTGCTCATCTCACCTAGTCATGAAAATCCAACCTCATAGCAAGGCAAAGCACTCCTGCATCTGTGGTGATCATCGAGACTGTGGCCAGTGTGTCGAATATCACCTTTGTGGACCTGGTGTCGTGGCTGTTTGAGCAGGGAAACATAGGGAATCCAAGTGGTGCTCTTTGTGACGTTGGATATTGTTGGATTATCAAGGATATCCTTACAGTGATTACAGGTTTTGCTGCTCATCGACTCTTTTGCTAGCGATCCAGCCGCGGTCCGACTTGAGCGTACTTGGCAGCGAACTTCCAGCCACCTTTGTGATCTTTGTGAATGTAAATCTAACAAGTTCATGCCTCATGCGCATGCTGTCTTGTTTTGACCAACTTGAACGCTCCTGCAGTAGTCAGGAATCCTGTTATATCCTGATTTGGTTTTCACTTATTTCTTGTCAACTGAAAGGGTAGCTCGCACTTGTACTTGTTTGTGTTGGTAGGCCCTTGCTCCTAGTAGCGATGCACTTGTTCCTAGTAGCTTATTGTTTCTATTTCTGTCTTCGGTCCGTCCCAGGATCTCGATGCCGGAGAGTTGGGCGGTCGGATCACCTTCAAAGCACCAGCTTCAGAGCGTGTGGTGAGCTATGTGACCTACTTGGCGACTTGGCGGTTTTGGTGGCGTGAAGAGGATGGGAGTTCAATGCTGCTGAGTTGGTCTTAATTTCCTAATAGTGTCACTTACTTTCTGGTCCCAAGTCACAAATTGCCGCTCAAGATTTGAATGAGTCCCACTCTCAAGCTTTGCGAATCCTTTGGGTCCTGCCATGTCTTGAGACTTGCAGGCCACCTCTTTCATGCCTGTGATGGGTCATAAGCTCAGATCAAACTTGCTGTTCTGACGAAGAGTGCGGGAGTGACAGGCCTTCAAGCGCTTCAAGGTCTGATGTGTTGGACATGAAATGGTCCTCACAAATGCCGATGATGCATAGCTTATCATTGCAAACTGCTTCAGGTCGCTGGGAAATAGAAGAGATGTCACACAGAGTGACCATCGACATTCCCGCAGACACTGCACTCCTGAACTTCTCATATATCTTGGCCTGAGCCTGAAGATGACTGACATTTCAAGGATTGTGTTTGCAAGATGCTCGACGTTTTTGTCCCGATTAACTTGACCAACTCACAGTTTAAATCTGAGGTCTACACTAAATCACTCTTGGCAGAACAAAGCACGCCTGTGGCCTTCACTCTGGAAGATAGCATTGCATCGGCATCTGGTGCCTTGGTCCAAGATCAACTGAGTGCTCAATCTTGAGCCTTGAATTGTAGAGCTTCGCAAACCAGCAATGCTATAAGGGTTTTGATTTAGTTGGCGTTTGTCGTTGTGGCTGCCGGATGTGAAATAGACCTCGGACCTCGCTAAAGACATTGTGCTCCCCCGGCAGTTGATGTGATTGTTTGTGTTTCATCTCTTTTCAAGGAGTGGCTATTCTTCTGCACTCACGTGCCGCCGAACCCGAACCCTAACCACGCTGTTGTTGCTGTTGTTGGTCATCGGTTTTGGTCTCTCTCTCTCTCTTGTCAAGCAACAGTCTCAACACTACCAATGAGATAGCTGACACTAGCAGGGGGCTTGAGCTCAAGTCCCAACAGTACAAAGAGGCGCGTGTACAACACTTAGCATTTTATCATGGTAGCGGAGCAGTGATCCTGGAAACATCCAGGGGAGCTCCAACAACAAACAGCAAGCACAACAGGCAGAGCCTTGATCCCAGAACACTGGGGGAGCTCAACAGGCAAAGCAACACATGCAGCTAGAAGCAGCATCAGCAACACCAGGACCAGAGCTAGAACAAGACACCACAGCCTTAGCAACAGCGCGCAGGTTCAAACTCAGATCGCCAACATTCGATGGTAACTATGCAACATTCGCGGAGTGGAAGTACAAATTCACAGCACCCACGGGCTTGATCAGATCGGAAGCAGCAACAATACGACTCACTGACACAGAGCTCATGGCGGTAGCACCAACACAGCAGACGTGAAATACATACATACTCATCAGCACCACCACCGGAGCAGCAGCAACAGTCTGCAGACAACACCAGCATGAGATGCGGCAGGAGATCTTTCGACAGCTTTTGTCAACGGCTCTCAATACCATTGGGAACACGCAGCATCAGCTACCTCACCAAACTTCTCAAGCCGAAGTTCGACGACAACAACAACAACAACTTCTAGGAGTCCTTCACAACATGGGAGGTTGAATTTGCTAGGTTCGAACGAGACAACGGCTCAACACTACCAGAGACAGTCAAGATAGCAGTACTCCTGAACGAAACCACGGGACCTCTACGACAACATCTCCAACTCCTGGCTGGCGCAATTACAACCTATGCACAAATCAGAACAACAATCATGGAATACTACAGAGCAACAACAGCCTTTACAAGTTGGCGCGGCAACCAGGCTCATCTAGCGTAGCAACAAACTATGGTGGAGGACAAGCGCCAATGGTTATCGGAGCCATCAACAAGGGCAAAGGCAAATACAAAGGTAAACCGAACAAAGGAAAAGGGAAAGGAAAACAAGGGAAGGGCTACGGCAACAAAGGGTACAAGAACTGCACAGGCTACGGCGTAGGCAAAGGCAAAGGGAAATACACAACACCTATCGGGTATGGCAACCCGTTCTCTGGCAAAGGCAATTACAATCAGTACCACACAGGAAAAGGAACAGGTGGCAAAGGAAAAGGCAATGGTAAGACAACGCAAGGTTGTTACAGACTGCGAAGGCTGAAACAGAGCCCAATGTCTACTGCAACAGCGCCGGAACCGTCTACATCATGGCATATGTAGACGTAGACGATCTCCTTTCGTAGGAGAACCACAACAAGTACAAGACACGTTCCGTGCTATACAAAAACAACTTCTACTACGTCAAGCAGGAACACTCGCCATGGGACAGACCATCACATTCCTTGGCCGAAACATTACGCATAAAGGAGACCGCTTTGAGATCAGCCTGGCAGACAATTACACAACAACACTTTTACAAGAGATTAACATGGAACAGTGCAACCCGGCTACCACTCCAGGGACGGCGTCCCTGAAAGCAACAGTGGAAGATGACACTCCACTCAACATTGGAGAACACGCGCAATACAGACGAATCGTGGGCAAACTACAATGGATGACATACACCAGACCAGATCTGTGCTACACGACCAAGGAACTAGCCAGATCCCTACAACAGCCAACAGCCAACAGCAAAAAAGAAGGCGAAACACCTTCTACGCTACCGATTTAAAAGGAACGCAACAGTTGACGCGACGCCGCGACACCACAAGTTCGCGATTCAACCAACAATCAGACTAGCCAACAACGACAGCGCCCTAGACCTGGACATCTGTGGACGCCGACTGGGCAGGCTGCCCAACAACACGAAGATCCACCACAGGATTTGCGATCCTTTTCCTCGGGTCACCGACCAACTTTGGCAGTCGAACACAAGCAACAGTAGCACTATCATCAGCAGAGTCAGAACTTTACGCCATCAACACTGGAGCAACAGAAGGACTACATGGCAAGAACTTCACCTGGAATCAGGATTAGCGCACAACCTTAACATGAGAATTCACATAGACAGCAGCAGCGGCAACAGCGTAGCGACACGGGTTGGAGCAAGCAAGAAAGCAAAACACATAGACCTAAAGCACCTCTTCATCCAACGGCTGGTTCACCAAAGGGGTCCTGGTGATCCTGAAGATCGGCGCGCGCGACAACATCGCATACACCCTCACCAAGTACGTGTCAGCCGAAACACCGACGCGCCTGTGCAACGCAGGCCTTCTTGGCCAACACTGAGCCCGACATCAGCATACAGTTTCACCAAATCTCGCGAGCGAACGCATTGTACAGCATATGCGAGCAATCTGTGCACACGCACACACATATATATATATATAAACACATCCTTTTGAGCTATGGTGCTTCCAACATCGTTGGAACAGCTGGGCTGCAGCAGACGGTGATGCTTCCAACAACGTTGGAATAGCTGGACTGCAGTGGATGGTGATGCTTCCAACAACGTTGGAGCAGCTGGACTGCAGCAGGTGGTGTGGTTCCAACAACTGTTGAAACAGCAGCGAGGTGTCTACAAACTTTTTTTGCGACGTGTCTCTGTGTTTCAAGTTTCAACAAGATGGAAAGTTCGGCCCTAAGTGTGCTCAAGAAGTTGCCAGAACTTGGCAAACCGACGGCGCTTGCCAAAATGGGGAGACCTTCACGACCTTGGGCTGGAGGCGGCCAGGGTTGCCCCAGACCAAAAGGAATATCCAAGGTGCGTCAACCCAGACGATTACCATGTCGCAACGCAGCTGACCAACAAAGAGACGTGGTGGTTGGCGACTACTACGGAAGTCTTTGAGTCCATGGCGAAAGACGCCAACGGAGTTGTTCTCAACATCCCAGAGGGCATTTGATGGGACAAAGCGCTGCTGAGCCAAGGAGACTTTCGTCGTTCTTTTCAGCTTTGAGATGGAAAGATCTCAGCAGCTTCACCGTCTTGGCGCGAAAGCCGTGGAGATCTTCAACCAGTCTTTCCAGAGACCCCAGTTGCAAGTTCAAAGGGGCAGCGCATTGCGGCTGACGCCAAGTGAGATGAGCTATTCTCAGGCATGGAAAATGACGCCAATGGATGGCGACAGAACTGTCTTGGGAAAAAGGGTTCACGTGGAGTTTCAACTTGTGCTTTCAGGTCACTGATGTAACATCAGTGGATGACCCGCTGTTTGCAGCCTTGCAACTGGCCATAGAGTACATGGGCGCAACCGGCTTGATGAATCTCCCTAGCCGTTACGTCAACATGTGTTCAGCCTCCCCGAGAAGCAGCACAGCAGCCGCTGCCACAAGGAATTGCTTCTCTATCCAGCAAGGATGCAAGAACGGCTTCGAGGGAACAAAGCCTCGGCAGAATGGGTCAACGGCTACACCATGGCATGGATGACTGGAGTGGGTGACGAGTGTGAACACTTACCGGACCAGTGAGCAGGAGATCACTTGTGAGAAAGACGACATGGACGAAGAGACTTGGCCAACAGACTGGCACGAGGGCTGAGGCATCCAATCCCTCTGCGACATTGCCAGCAAAGTGGGCAAGGCAACACTGAAAGATGAAACCAACAGAAGCGGACTGAGCGCTTGCAAGCTCTTAAGGTTTTGTTAGGCGCGTCCAACAGTTGTACAGAGTCCAACAGTTTGTTTGGCAGTGTAGAGACTGAGGGACGGTGTGAAGCAACAGTCTCAACACTACCGATGAGATAGCATGAGATAGCTGACACCAACAGGGCCCTTGAGCTCAAGCCCCAATAGTACAAAGAGGCGCGTGTACAACACTTAGAATTTTACAATCTCTCCCTCTCTCTCTCTCTCTCGCCTTCGTTCCTCCCTCTCTCTTCTGGCTAAAACTTGCTCTCCAAAACCTCCTGCTCACTGCCGAACGGACGCCGAACACCAACGTTTCGACATGTTTCGACAACCGCGTCGGCCAACTTCAAATGGTAGTGTCCTCTGGCGCGCTCCCCCAGCTGGGTTGGCGGATATATTTACACATTTTTGCACTTTGTCGTTCGTGTCCTTCGTACGTTTCGTGGGCAATGAGGAGTTGCTTTCTACGATCGCGATTTGGATGAAGGAGATGTAGGAGGAGACTTGCACCTTGCACAGCACAGGCTAATACGATCCAGGAAGACTCAAAGGTTTTACGTTGTTCGATGCTGTTCGTACGGACAGTGTTTTGTGGAATCGTTGTCCCATTGAGTCGGTTGGAGTAAGACTTGGTCAGACCTTCCGCGTCGGGGACATTGGGCACATGACGTGCAAAGATGCGCTGTGGGAAAACAGAGCATCAGTTCCGATCGGGACAGACGCACTCCACATCGCTGGTAGGTATTGGTTTCCACCTTCCGACACATCGCTGGTGGACTTTTATGAGATCTATTTTGCTGCTTGTCACAGACTGGATGCATCCTGATGCCATGTGTTTGGGATCAACGGTTTTCACCCAATCAGACATTCAATTGGGAGATTTGGAGCAAGCAGTGAGACTTGAATTACATAAATCTGAGATACTGCATGAAGGAGTTTGTTTGTTTCTACCGTGCATTTTAACATTAGTAGTCTTAAATTATGTTTGTGTTCTCTTCCCAGTTTCATGAGCAAGGTCCCATTCCAAAGGCGGGGAAGTCGCGAATCACAGTCCCTGCTTAGGCAAATGGAACTGCTGGCCATTGGACCAAGCAGCACCAGAGCACTGTCGCTGTTGGGCACCAGAGTGCCTTGTCTGCAAAACTGGCAAAACGATGCAGCGGTGTTCGATTCATTTCTAGCTTTGGGTAGCCAGCCTTTCATCAGGACATGTCGTGTTCAACCAAGAAACACACCAATTGTTTGCGAATCCTGTCCGATCCTGCTTCTCCGCTTTCTGAGGTTTGCATATCCCGGCTGATACGTCATTGATGTCAGTTCCTTGCGCCTGCATGCTGAACCTGGAAGACAGGTTTGCGGAGTGTAGAGGATTATAGTCATGGTTGAGTACACTCTGAGTGAATCCAAAAACATTCTACTCTGAAGCCTCATGTCACATGACTGGAACGCGTGGTGGAGTTTGCATTACAGGATTGGTCGCGGGCATGATCCGGATTCTTTGTTTGGCATGAACCAGAATGTGGTAGCTCGTAGCTGACTTGCTTTAACATCTCAAATTGTTGCACTTGCTCTCCAAGGCTTCTGGTGGTATGCTGACTCACTTGCTGGTCTACACCAGGCCAATCATGCCATGTCTCGCTCGACCCCGATGCCCATCGAAACACTTTGCAAGTTTCTGAGCGCTGAATATGATCAGAGAGATTACACTGGGTAATCTACAATATACACTCATAGAAGATGGAGGCAGCCGTAGCTGACTAGTGTTGGAGGATTCAACATTGGCCCATGTGTAGCTGAGGTTGCTGTTGATATCTAGGAACAAGGATGAAACAAGTGTTTCGATCTCAATGCTTCATAGTTTGGTCCTAGTGCTTCTGGGAGCTGGCTGCTGGAGGTCAAGTTTGGTCGAGCAGAGCACACCAAGTTCTCATTTTATCGCAGATGAATACGCCAGCGTTTCCAACATCTCCTTCACGGAGCCTCGACCAGTATGAGCAAGAGCGAGTCGGCTCTGAAGTTCTCACTGTTATAATTTTCTTAGTATCCCGATGGGTTTCTTACACGGCACGAGTGATGGAATGGCTTGAAATGCAGCTGCACACTGAGTTTTCACCAGTTGATTTTCCAGCATTTAGCATTGCAGGCAAATCGTACATTGTAGAAAAAAGGAGCACCCTTTATATAAAGACCTTTTGAGAAGCTTGGTGTTTGCTGCTCCTAGAAGCAAGGACCTGGATTTGGATGCCTCGGAACTTGGTGGTGTTGTGCTGTGGTCGCCCCCGACAAGAATCGCCCTGGTGCCCTGGTTGACAACTTCTGGATGGGTCCAGCACCAAATTGATGCTCCAACTCGAACTATGCTGGCTTTTGGTTGACGGGTAGATCCCAACCACAATTGCAACAGTAGATTGTGTAATTTGACAACAAGTGCCTTACTAGTAGTAACAAGAAGCTAGTAGTAACAAGTGCCACGCTAGTAGTAACAAGTGCCTTACTAGTAGTAACAAGAAGCTAGTAGAAACAAGTGCCACGCTAGTAGTCCAGACCGAGACACTCTGGTTGATCACACCATGATGCGACGGATGAGCATAGATTTTGCATCGATCTCCACTTCTTGATGTTTTGAGTGGTCTCTTTTGAAGGTGGAGAGCATCCATTTGTATCTGGCAGATTCTACAGAGGGCAATTTCAGATCGCAAGTGGGTGACGGAGTTCAAGTACCTTGGAAGATTGTCAAGGGATTTGAATTCTTGTGTATCGTAACATTGAAGACCTTCTGGTGGTGTATTTTATTATTTGTTCCACACTTCTACTGATTGATGGAGCCGGCCTGCAACAATGAATCAGAGAATGGCAGTGGACAGTGGGCAGCATAATTGTATAATTAATGCGGAACCAGTACCGTTGTCCATAGTAACAAGAAGCTACTAGGGCTTAGGGGCTCCTGGCCTTACTACTAGGAGCAAGGACGCTACTAGGGGCTCCTGGCCTTACGGAGCATTCTTACTACTAGTAACAAGAAGCTACTAGGGGCTCCTTTTCAGTGTGACGGTTCCTGCCAACTCTTGCAGGCCAATGCTAGCAGTCTTGACATCCTCTATGATACAAGCCAGGAGAATTTCTCCCACGTGGTGATGTATACCAGGCCCGTTGACCAATCGAATGTGGATCCTTTTCTAGGGTTCTTTGCAGTTCACTCACACTATTGTGCTGTTGTCCACCTCAAGAGGATTGATTCCAGACTGTTTTGAAGTTACTACATTGAAGTAGCTTCCATAGCAAGTAAGACAGGACAGGATGGTTTGATCGTCCGATCTCCGGCACTTTGCATTTGATAGTCCGATGGCTGCCCTGTTGCGGAGGTCCTCTTTGAAGGAGCAAACGACACCTGTGGCTCTCACTCTGTCAGATACCTTTGCCATTGTTCCTGGCAGCATAGTTGTCACAGTGCGTGTGCCAATTTGCAGTACGATGTTCTTGTGGCTACTTTTGATTTGCAAGTTGTGTGTGAAGTGTTGATTGTCCTTGCTGTTTTGGATGGATTGATGCCTCTTTATGTTCTTTCTCATCCAGACATAGCATAATGCAGCCTTTTGAGCTACGAAAGCGCCGCGAGAGGTTTCGAATGTGTCTTTTGTAGACTATGACCTGGATCTGGGAGAGATTGGTGGTCCAATCACTTGGGACGGCAGCGATGTGGCAGATTCCATTCTGCAAAGAGTTGGTTTATTGGACGTGTCCATTCGAATCATTCTTGTTGACGAGCAAGAGGTCCAAGACCTTTGGCCCCGCATCGGGATAGGTCGAAGGTATTCTGAATGTGGCATGCGTCGGTCTTGCATCGTCGCCACTCATGATTGCATTTGTGAAGCTTCTTTGCCTTGGTTCAAGATTGAGGATTGATTTTCATTCGGGTCAAATTGATCAGATCTTTTTCTACACTGACCTTGGGCCGATCTCGCAGTTGGAGGATTTCGACGGTCCAAAACAGGTTTGCTGTCATGCCATGTGATGAATTTGCCCAGGAAGTCACCGGCTATGCAGTCTACTTGGCTCGTGCAGCTCCGGCCCACTGCTTGGTTTGTGCAGCGAAGGTCAAAACTCAGGAGATTCAAACTGATGGTAGGTAGGGGTGGGTTCACTGATGGATAATGTATGATAACATAACATATGATAACATGTTGTGTCAAAACATGCGTGCCAGCTGTAGAAGTTCTGCAAGATCCAAAACACAGCTGCTGGCGTACCCGATGCAAAAGTCAGAGCTGCTATGAATCCCTGGTATGTTCGAGGCCTTTGGTGAAGCACGCTTCTGTGCTTATGCATGGGAGTCACTGCGTGCCACCGGCGCGGTGATTGAGAACGCCGAGATCCTCGGAAGTGATTCCATGGCAGGCTCCGTGGCCTTGGAAACGGAGAATGTGAAGGATATCGTTTTGGTGCACAGAGGAAACATGAGGAAACCATAGGAAGCCTAGGTGTTTACACAGAGGACCTAGATGTTTACAGTAAAGTTTAAGGCATGGTTATTCCTGTTTGCTCCAAAAAAAGATGGACGTTTCTCCCGATCTCACGTGCAACACATGCGTCAGACTAGATTATCCGTAACCTCCGTATATAACCTACCCTCTAGCGCCGGCACCAGGTGAGTGGGCATCGGGGGGCCTCTGTCATCTCGGGAAGCTTTCAGCTCACTGCCCTGGGCAACGCTGTGGCCCTCCGCATGGCCACGATGCTTCTTCTCAAAAAACTGCCAGATTGAACTCTACATGCAACATTTTTTCAGCGAGCAACAAATGACAAACAGGACACTGCGCTTTGTCTCCAATGATTTGGAATGTTTGTGGAGAAAAGGTCCTCATCATAGTTGCTCAATGGCTTAGTAGTTGTTAGACTAGTAGCAAGTCACAGGATGAACATCTCCAAGAAGGACATCATGATACTAGTTTTCTAAGTGTGGTGCAAAGAGACAAACCGAGGAGAGCTTCCGTGGCACACCTTCTGAGCATTGATTCCACCAATGTCAGTGCTTCTGTCAATGGTGCTCGACGTTTATCAAGGCAGTCATCGCTTCCCAGACCGTGGTCCTCGATGCCCATTCGATACACTATGCTGAAAGTGGTCCTTGTTCCTAGTAGTAAGGCCAGGAGCCCCTAGTAGCTTCCTTGCTCCTAGTAGCGATGCCCTTTGCTCCTAGTAGCGTCCTCGATGCTGAAAGTGTAGATTTCTTGTGTTAAAATGACCAGTGACCAGTTGCTGCCTCCGTGCAACACTTCTCTCTTGGACAGGCAGCTGAGCAGCGAAACGTCGATGAGTTTTCAAGCGGTTGTGCCGAGCATGTGAGGGAACCAAGTGAAAGAAGCTACTAGGAACGCGGACGCTACTAGGGGCTCCTGACCTTACTACTAGGAGCAAAGACGCTACTAGGGGCTCCTGGCATGGCTACTAGTAACAAGAAGCTACTTATCAGCGCAATCTTTGGTCTCCATGCTGGGACTAGTCACTAGTCAACCTGGTGTACTCAAGGTGTACCCACGATTGAAGAGCATGATCAATCAGTTCATACCATATCATTTCTTGAATCTCTCTCTCTCTCTCTCTTCTCTCCCACGAAGCTTTCCAGAGGGTTGGTTTGAATTGAGATAATTAGTGGATTGAAAGGATCAGCCTTGTAACATTTGTATGAGATGAAAGTTGATACCACCACGAAACGGCAAGGGCAGGCAAGACTGCTCGTTTTGAAGGAGAAGCTTTGTGGTTTGATTCAAGACTCGCCATGTTTCTTTAAATACCTACTGGTGCTAGTTTGGGTGAGCCAGACAATATCACTTCAGCGATTCATTGCCTCCTCGAAAACAATCGAAAACCGAACAGCCTCAGGTCTTTGACCGCCTCCCTTGACCTCCTGTTGGCTGTTTCAGCAGAGCCGGTACCCTTTGCGGCCATGATGGCGCACTTCCTCTTTGCACTCGGAGTAGATAGGCACCACTTCGCCACTTGTTGTTCTTTGTCGGAATAGCTGCGGTGTCATTAATACGGATTGTTTTCCGAAGCCCATTTGGAATGTCCAACCTTCTGAAGTGAGGACATGCAGCCATGCAGCAGCGCTGTAGACGGACTGGCATACTGATACATACATTTTCAGGAATCCAATATAATAGTGAACTGCAGTGATATGGTCAGGTGCTCCTGGTGTAGATGGTGTAAGTGTAGGACGTGTAGGATGGTAGACATGCTGGACCAGGCACATCAAGGGACTTAGTTGTGCAGCAATGGGTCAAGGCCATGTCGCAGCCTGAAGTGAAGCCACTTACAAGAGTGGCATTCTTTGTGGACAATTACCAGTATGCTAAGAATGGATGGGGCTACTGGCAAGATCTTGCAGGTCGTCATGATGCATGGGATAAAGCGTGCAAACGATTGGAGAAAATGAGTTTCAAATGTGCCATCCCAAGAAAGAATGTTACGGGGGAAGACTTGCGACAGTTGCCGGAAAAGATGGCAGCCGCCCTGCGCAACACACATGGGGCGCTGGGTTTGGCCGGCTATTCTGGGCATGGAATGGTATATAGGGGCCGCCTATATCTCATTCCAACAGACAACCCAGAAACTTTGAAGACACTGCCGCAGGCCTTCACAATCAGCTCAGGATTCACGCTGTTGACATATTTGGGCGCCTTTCTCTATTGCAATTTTTGGTTCTGGGAGTATTCTTGGCTCCTGAGTGGGGCAAGGTTTCTGATGATGGCTGGATTCCTTCGATTCATTCTTTCCAGATTTCCTTCCTGGCTGTTGCTTGCATGGCAGAAACTGACTTGGCATCCACTCTTACAAGCATATTGCCTTGACGAATTGGAGGCTAAGCTAGCTAATGTTCACGACACCCACGGAGCACGATATGCCACCTTTTTTTTGGTGCTGGACTGCTGCCGAGATTGCGGGCGACTGTCATGGTGGCATCAGGTTTTGCTGCGCTTGCAGGCCAGTGAGAAACCAGCAACTGTCAAGCAATCATACAAGAGCAGTCGACCAAACTTCTTCCAAATCTATGCATGTGAAGACGGGCGCCAAGCCTTTGGCTGCCCTGATTCCCACAGTCACTTGATAGAAAGCTTCCTGAAAGCATTGAGTGGTGTTAAACATGGTTGCACATTGGACGACTTGCTCAACCATATCGACGAGAGCATCCGAGCTTCATGTAGTCTTGGTCTGCAGAAGTTCTGCACGTACAGCACATCCTATCGACTTGCAAAACAGATCATTTTCTGGAACGGACTCACCCAGGCCGCCCCTGAAGCCCGACCTACCTTGATGACAAGCATGAGGAAAAGCAAGCTTTTCAGCTTGAAACCTTCAGAACAGCACTTGTTTCAACGCTATCGTCACAGCAGAGATGTGCAAGAACGAAGACAAATCATATCGCTGCCTGCCTTATCTGAAGACCTTCGTGCTTTGTTGCTTGTGCGCAGCCTGGCAGAAAAGAGGTCGGCGACAGGAGCCAAACGTTTCTTGAGCACTGCAGTTTGCTCAAGAGCCATAAAGCGACAAGGTCTAAAACTCCACAATGTGGAGTTGGTGATTTGTGAGGTGAACATGATGCAGGCCAAATTCCTTTGTGATAAATGCCTAGCGCTGTTGGGCCAGGCAATTTTAGCAAGATCTAGGCACCGTGAAGATAGCATTCGGTCAGTTGACCGCAAGATGCGTCGAGTGGACAGCTTGTTAGCCAGAGTATGGAACGTGCTTGATCAGCATTCTGCCGATCCTTATTTGCAGGGGAGAGTGGAAGAAGTTATTGCTGGAAGCATCGCAGTTCACTTGTTTAAGGGGATGCTGTCTGGCCAAAGCTTTTGGCATTCATTGAATGACTTCCATCGCCAAGCATTTGAGTGCTCCGGCCACTTCCAACGGGCTTTGCACGCCTATGCGGAAGGAGCATTGACAAAGGATGCTGCGCGATTAGCCGCCATTTGGCGGCTCTCTGCGATTTTTGCTGCATTGTTTGCCAGGGATAAACCTTGCATTGTGGAGCAGCTTGAACATTTCAACCTTGCCTTGGCGTTCTGCAACACGCACCACCCAAACTATCAGAACCAATGGGTGGTCAAGAGAGTGCTTGCTGTTGCAAATCTTGGGATTCAGGTTGTTCACCCAACCGTAGCTTGATATGTTGAGCTTATTAGTGTTTGTATATAACTAATTCATTAATGCACAGTGTTCGTCAGTGTGCCAACATATTTGCACACTGTGCCATGCTTTTAGTGTTGGCACCCTGCCCTACCGTTGAGAAGCCTTGTAATTAAACTTGAGTGCATCAAGACAGTGCTGCCCTTCGTGATGGCCTTTCTAGAGTAATTTTTCAGTCAGGAGCAACATCACCTTATACAAAAAATTGATTAGTCTTGATTGATCCAAAATCGTATGTAACATATTATGTAGTTTTCCTTGTACTCTCCGCTGGACAACTCGAGCAGCCACAAATGTAGTGATCCAGACCCAAGTTTGGATTCTTTGACCTTTGATTTTGATGGTTTAGGATTGATAACCTTGTCGGCTGCGCTGAACAATGTCAGACAAAGGCTGAACAATGTAGGGGAGTATACTACACTATACAGTATTGCAGATATTTGCACACTGAGTACGACAACAGTTCGGACTGCTTACAAGTTGCAATTCATCAACGGGGGCAACATGGCCAACATCTTAAGTTGCCGCATGTTGCGCGTTCATTTGCACAGAAACAGGTATGTGCATAGGCAGATGGTGACTGGTGCATAGAGAGAGAGAGATGCACTTTGGCACCTTGCTACAGCATAGGACTTTCAACATGTCTTGTGGGGCTGGTGGCAACGTAGACGTGATAGCTTGTCGCCAACAAATTCTGTGCAATGTCATTCGACCATTTCGGAACCAGTCCAAGAGGCATGTTGGCGTCACAAATCGTTGTGTATTTGAGCGATAGATAGACTGCAGAGGGTCTTGGTAAGACCTTGCTGCGTCCAATTGCTGAAAAGCACAGAAAAGGGGAGGGAGGGATGTTCGAGAAGAACGGACCAGTATGCTTGAACAAGCTTGAACAGATTGAACAGACTTGCAGCAGCGACATGAAGTTGGCTTTGTCTTTAACCTTATTTGTTGGTTGTGCCGCAAGTTTCCTGGCATGGGATGGGACAATCTGGGACACTGTTATTGCATCCAAGCTCTGACAGGGCCATCTCCACAGAAGTGATGATCAGCGGAATGCAGGTGTTCGAGGCTGAACCTGACTGGAAATTGGGGAAATGTTGGGACACGATTCCATGGATTTGGAATGTCAGGAGAAAACCATGAAAGTCATAGTTGATCATTGTTCCGATGTCATGTTTTCAAGGCAACCAGTAGTTAACCATCAGGTGCCCATGAGCCAGTGGATGCCAGAGGAGGGCAATGAAAGCGCAAGGACCTGAGCGAAGAGAACTGCGACTGAAGCTGTTCCATGTTCGTTCCTCCATTTTCCAACAGCAAAGGCTTAAGCTTCCAATTGCTTCGGGGCGCTGAGTGTCAACGGAGAGGTCTAAACATGTCTATGCTATGTATGCCTTACGCAAGCTTGCGTGCCAAACTTGACTTCCGATTCCAACTGTACCTGAAAACCGCATGTTTTCATCTACTTGACACATTCCAAGTGAAACCGTACAGTAGGTGATGTTCTAGCAGCTGGTTTTGCAGTAGGAGCAAGAAGCTACTAGTAGCTCCTGGCCTTACTACTAGTAACGAGAAGCTACTAGTAACAAAGGGCATTGCTACTAGCAGCAAGGGCGCGGGATGCTACTAGTAACGAAGAGCTGTTTGTCGGTGTGACCTCAGGTTTCGGGCCTTTCAGCAGAGAATTTGGGCGTCTCACTACCGACGCAGCTCTTGGCAGTCTGTGAGCGCATCCAGGTGCGTTGCTGCATTTAGTTGTGCGCACAAACATATAACATGTTTGGCGGCACAATGTGCCCAGGTATGTCCATGCAAATACTGTTCGTCGTTTGCATATTGTTTGTAAAGGCAGTAATAAAGCATTTAGATATATTTAGATTGTTCTTTGGGGAAGACTAGTATATAAAGGACTCAGAAGGTGAAATCCAGATTGGATTGGGACTTCTGAGCCTACACTCAAGAACCCCAAGTGTCAGTGACAACGATCAATTCGTATCAACAATTAACTGGTGCAACAATTAACTGGTACAGTGAGCGCCCAGGACCATCCACTCGACCCACACCCACAGCGTAAGCACTCATAAATCCAGCATTGTGTTGCTCACCAGAAAGAAACACATTTACAGAGCCCTGAACGCCTTAGGGGTTTCTTTTTGTACCTTCACATTATAGTGATTATGCAAAATGATCCTAAGGATTACCCTTCAAGACTGCACCTCGACATGATTTCGGTATTGCACCACTTTACTTTTTGATAGAATACAATCCAACCTGTGGTAGTTGGTACTGGACAACTAACAAGCCGCCAATGCGACACGGCAGGTGGCCAACGTCTCGGTTGGCATTGAACAGCTGGATTTGCCTCCAGAGTCCGAGCACCCGGGAGTATGAAACTCCATAAACGTGGGTGTGGGCGAACACTGAGGGAACACCCTGGTCCTGGTTGTTGGTGTTGGGGTGACTACCTGTTTGTTTGACTACATCCCACATGAGGAAAGCAGTGAAGCACGCTAGGATTTCCGAGTTTGGCCCATGAGTTTGTCAGCTTTGACATATTCTGAACTTAAAGCAAGAGTCACAGGTTACCAAACGTGCATCGAAGTCTTAAAACACTTCCAGTTCAAGAACCCGGGCTGATCCGGTCCGTGTGTGAATTTGGCCACGGGTAGAAGTTGCTTCAAACACTTGAACTGCACATTGCTAAGGGCATGCATCGACAACTGC